ATATCCCGCAGATAGAGAGGGCGCTGCGCGCCTCACCTGTGCAGGCGTGCGATGCGTATTTCGTTAAACAATTCTATTTCGAACAACCGTCATCCTCTCTTTTACTGAGCAAAGACATGACTACGATTTCGCTAAGCAAGGTGTTCAGCAAAAAGCGCAGCCACCGCCGCGTTTGAATGAAGTACGCAGCCACGCCTACTCCATTCCAGGATATATAGTGTAACTCATCTCAAGGGGAAAAAATTAGCAACTTAAAAAAATTTCTGTCGTCCTTAATGGACCACTCCTCACAGCGTCCAGATATTACCCCCCTCTTCGAAGGTTCGCAACCCGAACCCTAGGCCCTGATCATTTGACTCCCCCCCATGCGATCACGCTCTAAAATTCAGTTGGTGTGTTTCAGAATTTGCTTCGATCGTACATATCGATGTTGGAGCGAGTAGTAAGCGACTGTGGCATGGCACAACGACAGTCTGGTTTGGCTGCACCTGGCGAAGCCGAGCTGTTGGCGCAAGGCGCGTGTGGCGCAAGATCATCATCAGAGCCAGCCACACCGCATAATGATTCTGGGTTTTGTTCTGGAGTGAGTTCACCGGAATCATGTGGCAAAAAGGATCTCGAATGCTCGCCACCGAAAATGGCAAGAATCGCCTGAATACAGTAACCCCATGGGAAATTCCCCCGTGTGGGTGGTTTTCATTTTGTCATTTATTCATCATGTCTATTCTCGTTCGATGATCACAATCAGTCATCACATAGCTTTCATTATCCATTCTCATCAAATTCGATGCCTATTCTAGCCTCCTATCCAAACTAATTTCACAAAATCTGCTTCATATATTGTAGTTGTCTCGGAAACGTAAACATTGAACGAGTATGTTACTGCTTTTTTTTCTCTTTTTCTTTGTTTAATTTATTATTTCACATAGGTGGCTGGCTTATTATGGCCATTGCGGGTTAATGTGTATTCCCACCTTCATTTTATTTAAGTTATCGACTGATAGCCACTTTTCTGCCTTTTGGAAGTTTTTCATACAATCTACCCTCTTCGTACTACTACCACGTCGTGTCGCTTTGCTGTTTGTTGTATTTGTTGCCATCTGACGCTTTTATAGTTGACGGGAGACGCGCGGCGGCATCTGCGTCTTGACCGGAGTCAGAGCGGAATCTGGCTGTCTGGGCTCTTCCAAGGCTAAGCCCTAGCTGGGGAATTCGCTTGGACCGCGTTCAGACTTCGCGATCGCGCGATCTTGCCGCCGTCTACCCCCAACTCAACTGCAATAGCGGCGTGCATTTTTCATTTCATTATCTTGTACCATGCGCCAATATTTGACATGATTGTTTATCGCCGTGGTTTGTAGTAGCGTACAGCTTGACCAGATATTGGTTTGTTATTTGGATTTTTGCTTTTCCGGTGTCTTTTTTCTCTATTTATGTTTCTTCTAGTGTATCTTTCTGTCGACCAAATAACGTCTTGGTTTCTTACTCGTTGTCGTCGCTAAGTCGTAGGTAGTGCATGGCTCGACGCTCGCGTTCATGCCATATTTTTCCACCCGTCGCGTACCTGACAAGCGAGCGAATGACGAGCGTCACAGAGCGATGTCACTGCCATACGAGTAGCTTGTGATTAGTCAAAGATTTTCTTTTCTTTCTGTATGTGTAAGTGTTTGTGTATGTCATGTTTGCGAATAATTGAAATTTCCGCCAACTCTGTCGCGATGTCGCGCGCGCGGATCCGGCGAGCGACACTGCGCGACATGTCGCGATGTCTCGCGCGTGCGATCCGGCGAGCGACACTGGGCGACACTGCCCTAATTGTATATACGTGGATCATCCGTTTTACCCGACGACGAATTCCAACCCTACGGGAATTCGTATTTTGCATCGTGACTGCCGTCAAATAATGGGACAGTATTGCGTGTGTGTTTTTCTGTAGGCACTGGTAGTCATGCCTTTCTCGTCAGAATATTAATCATTTTTTTGTTCTTACAACGATTGTTTTATTTTATTAACTTCTTCAATAAACGTGTACTAATTATAATTTTTGTAGGAGATGACTCAAAGAGATGTGTGGTTTGAAATCCGCATTCATACACGAACAATCGTGGATTCGACGCCATTAGAGTGCAGTCGGCTGCAAAGGGGCAAAGGCAGCTTAGCATAAAAATGATCAGGATGGATCCCTCCCTCCCCCCCCTAGTCCAAGTAGTCCAGTCCGCAAACTGAGTTTGTCACACTTTCGAGGATACTGAGTGTGTGGCGAGGGGGCTGCAACCATCGTAACTACCCAGAAACGTCCTTTTTACACTCAAGACAGAACACTCAATTGTTGTTTGGTGGAGAGTTGGGGAATAAATCCGAATGGTGTGCCTAATTTTTTTGACCATTCCCAAGGTTCTGCTCTCCTTTACTGCTTTTTCTCATTAGAAGCGCATTCTTTCATAAGCAATCCATCTAGTGAGGTGAGATGCGTTCAAATCACCAATTATATAGGTGCATTGGTGCAAGACTCCGTCGGTCAGTATGTTTCCCAAGTCGCAATTTTGCACATGACTGACTAAGAGGCTCTTTCCGTCACGGGTCTCGTTTCTATATCGTGCTTTCCTTGTTGTTTCTACTGTTGAATGGGGTTCAGTACTGGATGAAGCGAAGAGTTGAGTAGTGGGCCAGAGGCGGCAGGATACTGCTTTGTTGGCATGAAAAGAGTCGGTCCGGGCAGTCAGAACAGCGACACTGCCGGAGCCCTTATTCAGAGTGTATTCGGTATTTTCGGCTTTTTGTTCTCGGAAGAACGACCCAGAGACAATAGGTTCGCAACTGAACGCTGCTACCCACAATGTTCTATCGTGGGGTAAGGTGAGCGGTGACTCATAGACATTTCAGCTTGGTTCTTCCACTGTAATGTTTGCTAGAGTTGGATAGGAGTTAGTTGTAAAAACAATTATCTTTTATCCAGAGTTACAGCCTTGAGTTGCGCCACACATTTGACCCCTAATCAGAGTCTTGGACGGCGCTGTTCGGCTTGGTGGGAGCCACAAATAGGTTCTAAGCGGAAGTTGCACAGACTACTGTAAAGTTTTGCATGTTACTGTAACCAAAATGGCTCACTTTGGCCATTTCACAAATTCACAGGAATTTACGCGTTTCACCAAAGCGAGACCTGTTAGCAGACATGACATAGGAAGAGGAACTAGCGAACATGCAAAAACCCCTCCCAAAGCAAACAACACCTTCCCATACATCCGTAAGATGAGTCTAATTTGAGAGCACAGTGCGCTTTGATCATGGTGGATGAGTTGAGCTTACGATTAAGACGCCTTTTTGATGCACTCCTCCGCATTAGCGTCTTCGAAATCTCGTGCTTGCCTGTGCTGGGAAATCGGGTACAACAGTTACCACACCTCCCTTCCAAGGCATTGGCACCATAACTTGGTACGCGGTCTAGAATGCTACGGGGTACTATGTAATGAGGAAAATGACAAAAAAAACAAGTGAAACGGTGAAAAAACTTGCGAAGAAAAGCCTTCGTTCTTAATGACTCGAAAAGCAATTTCGGACGAGTTTCCCATAGGCATCTTGCCAATGAACGCTACGGTAGGTTGGCTGCACGTATGTACTCATATATCCATGCAGCACCGCGGCCGCCTTCATGTCAATCCCTTCGCTTCATATTTTACTTCGCAAATGAAGCAGTACGAGCATCAGATACGGCCTATGTTGCAGCTTGATAGATCCTTATGAGTGTACCTTCCTTGGAAAAAGCGCTACGCAGCGGACATGGTTGAGAAATCGTCAACGATCAGTTCGCAGTGAGCCGCTTCGGAAGGAGATCGTATTTTGGCTTGCTGTGAGAGCTCCCTATTGATGTGAAAGGGTGTTGATCCCGTGATGAATAGAATTTGAGGCCTGCTCTCCATCATTCCCCCCACCCCTCGAAACTTAGAGGTGTCAAACTAGACAAACTTATGATTTTCCTTTTTTGCCTAAAATGGAACGCATTATCAGACTAGACTTGAGCGACCAAGTGTCTTCATTGCCGTAAGCCGTAATTTTTGCGGAAGTATATTGATTTACCTTACAATAATTCTAGTCACTGACAAATGTCGAATCCATGGCGCATCTCAAAGGAAGGCTGATCAGCGCCTTCCGCTCGCAGCAATAATAATGCCCTAATATAAATCCCGTGGTGCCCTGATTACTCAACGACAGGAGGAGAAACTTTCGTTAGGGAGAGTCTATAAGGTGAAGGATTGAGTTTTGACAGTTAATAAATTCCTTCTTGAGATGCGGCATGCAGCCTCTATTCAGAATCGTAGCAGTATTTAAATGCGATCCGATCTATACGGTCTGCTGGGACCAGCCGATAAGCGAATAAAAGTCGCTATTTTTCTAGACAAGTCTGGTATCAGTAGCATTCCCAGAGGATAGGATTGGCTGCTTAGACGGGAGCTGATATTCGACCACCGGACCGCGCGCTTGGTAAACGGTCCACCATTACATCACCTCCGCCTCACAAGAACCCATACTGAAAAAGCGCCAAAAGCTTCCAAAATTTCGAATTAAATGGGTGCACCACGTTATTCGTTGCTTAGGCACCTTCTTTAGACGTGGGAACCTGCCCGCAAGCACAGATACTACTTTCGCAGGACAAAAATACGTGAGGAAAGCGCGACCTGCTAGCGACGGTGCCAAGGGTCCACCCACTGGCCACGGCGAGGCCCAACTTTCATTTGTAAAAGCTTCCTCGTCACTGCTAACTCTCTCCATTTTGAAAGGTGAGAGTGAGGTGAAGGAGCATGAACAGATGAGAAGTCGTCTGACCACGCCCTTTCTTCGCCCTACGCAAGTGCAAGCGCGGTTTGGCACGGGGTGCTATATCGGGCATTCAGAGCTAGTTTTCTGGTGCTTCTTTTTCATTACTCCATTCATTCGTTGGCCATCTTGTCATTAGAAGTGCGACACGAGTCACCACTTCAAAGCAGTGCCTCTAGCTTTCCTTTTCTTCCAAACGAGGTTTTCAGATGATGGAACCTATATTCTGGCCTGGCGTTCCGACTGTTTTGCCTATTTCTGAGGTCACGACTCCACCGGTATCGGTAGCATAGCTAGTTAAGTTACTAAGTGTAAGGCAGAAGTTGACTAACCACACTAGCCTCTGAAAAAACGAAACGGTCGCAAAATGTGCCGTATAAGAATCCATTTAAAAAACTTCTTCGTTCTGCAGAAAAGAAAAATCAGTGGGGATTATGTCGTGGCTCCAACAAGAGAAAATACGGTGTTTTTTTTAGGAAAAAAAATTTTTCAACCCTTTTCTCACGTTATGCTGGATAATACTCGTTTGCCTACCCTAGAAAAAGAGAAAAAATCGGAGAGCTCCCGCACAAGTCTTGAGGGGTGGTGGATCGCTTGAACGTTTCCAATGCAATGTATCTTGTACAAATGTAATGTAGCTTTTGGGCAGTCAAAAGCCATACGAGATTCTAGAATAAGAGTTTGTGGAATTAGGTAAACGAGGGAATATGGCAAGACATGAGCTTCTTTCATCTCATGGAAGTCAACGAACATGAGCAATCTAATTCGTCAAAAAATTCAAGCACCAATCAAAGAAAAAAAAACAGGAGGGTCCTTTTTCCAAAGACTGAGAGTTCTCATTCG